GAAGATCTCATTGAAGATATTATTTTCCCTAGTAAAATTTCAGCCTTCAGATTTCTTTTCTTAGCCCTTGTAAACTCATGGTTCAGCTGTAAAATATTCATTCATTCCTTCCATTTACAAAGTTTTCCTTGTCCGCCTTTGGATCACTTTGTAAAGACCTGTTTTATATTGCACATGAAGAATTCACTGTCAATACTGCCTACCTCTTATATTTGTGATGTCTTATCCAAACTCCAAATCTTCAGTTTCAGATGTGTCTCATTATAGGTCTGGGAAAACCAGAGGAAATAAAAATTCACATGAACCTGTGTGTATAGCTAGACCCAGGCATCATTTTCCTTTATTTTTCAGGTGCTGGAAAATTTTGGTAATTTTTTTAACTCTCAGCTTCTGGCCAGAATTAAGCATTGAGGGGGTGGGGTGCCTTTTAGAAAATGTATCCTCACAGAAGTTTTTGCCAAGGATTAAAAAAAAAAAAAAAGTCTCATTTTCATGCAAGGACCTGTCTTGCAAGATTTAGCCTAGTACTGTAACTCCAAGTTTTACTAAGCAGCTAGATTCTCTTCCAAAATGGAGTCCAATTTCTGGAGATTTGTCAATTCCTCCGTCTGTTAAACTTCTATTCCAGGACATCCTGTCCTATTTCCATTAATTCTATGACACCTCCCGCTTTAAGTTTATTGAAGTGAACTCAACCCTTGAATATAGGAATTGTCATGTAGCATCAGATTGGTTGTTCATTTATTCTACTATTCTGCTTTTGCTTCGGTCACCGATTCGATTTGGAGATTCACCGATTCGGGGGCTGAGGAGACCCATTAAGAGCCCTGAATCTATTTGAAATATCCGAATCGATTCAGAAAAGGTTCAAAGATTTGGATTGGCCAGGGAGAGGCAGGCACAGCCGGGTGGCTGCAGGTTCTCCCGTGGCTCCTTTGGCTGTGCCTCCCTCTCCCCGGGTGTGGGGAGCCGCGGGAGAACCCCCCATGGCTGCCCTGCCAGGCCCCAGTCTCCCGGCACTTTAAAAAAAATAAAAAATGCCCCACGCTCACTGGCTGCAGCAGTCATCCAGAGCCCAACAGTGCTCAACCCCAGTGGCCCCAGCTCCCAGACAGTGAGCAGCACCTTGCTGAGACGCATTGCACCCCTGCTATGTGGCAGGTGGGAGATTCCTGCTGCCCCCTGGTTGCCCCGCAGGTTCTGCCATGAGTGCCCAGAGGCCCCAATTGCCACTGATGTAGCTGGTGCGTAGCTTTAAAATTTTTTTTTTTAAGTGCCTGGGAAACTGGGGCCAGGCAGGGCAGCCATGGGGGTTCCCCACCCGGGAAGAGGCAGGCACAGCTGGAGGAGCCATGGGAGAACCTGCAGCTGCCTGGCTGTGCCTGACCCTCCCCAGCCGATCCGAATCACCGAATCTCTCCGAATCAGCGCCGATTTGACCGAATCAAATGGGGACAGCGATTCGAATCACCAAATCGAATCACTGTCCTCTGAAGTGGCTGAATCTGAATTGTATACTTCCCTATTCGCACAGGCCTAATCTGTAGGTTGGTGTATATTTCTCACCTACATTTTAATCATAACTTTAAAAATGCTATTAGCTGCAATGATACTGTATTCTAAGTATATATATTTGTTTTTTCCCCAAACATTTGAAAACATTCTTAGTGAGGAGGAGAAAGAATATAATTTTAGAGACTGGATTCCTGACAACCATGGACATGTAATTTTAGTTGTCTCAAAGTGAGAAACATTTCACAAAGTGTCACAATTCCACGTTGAACAGTTATATTACCCTGCCTCTCATTTCTCCATTTCCCCTCCCCAAGAATTACTTACCTTCCCACTGGTTTGGATCAACAGCTATTTTTAATATTAAATCATGCAGAAGTTTAAATCTGCCTTGGCACAAAAAATGTGCCTGGAGCAATAGCAAACTTGATTTTACAAAAGGAAAATGGTATAAATGTAAAAATAGCAATTACAGATGGTCAAAAATATTGAAGCTCTTGGTGAAAGACTGAAAATTGAAATCCTTGGATGTGCTACTGAAGTGGTTTATGGGAGTTATATTTTAGACGCCTATTGCACCCACTTAACTGTATAAATCCTCTGTTCTGGTCACACCACCCCTGATGCCTGAGCAAATGGAGGTAGTGTATGATGGGAGATGAGATGAAGTCTAACTGGGTGAAGGAAAGAGAATAGGAATGTGAGACCATGAGCCCTGCCACCCATTCCAATAAAAGCTAGATGGAAACCAGCTATGAAATCATTACACATTTTCAGCACTAACTTTATAGCTGCTTGGCTCTTTTTATAGCTCAATGGTCATTTTTATCTCATGATAATTACTTTGCACGTATGGTTGGTCTAAATTTACTGCATGATTAGCTAGTTAATTGTGTAATATATGTAATGTGTAGGAGGGGTCGTTGTGACAGCATTTCAGATTTTGAGTATTTTCATTTTCAATTGAAAGCTGAGAACCTGTCAGTTTTGGTGAGTTTATAGGTTTCAACCAAAATCAATTTTCTGTTGGAATCAAACTTTTTTTGTAAAATATTGTCCAGTGAGAACTTTAATTTTCCATTAAAAATGTCAGAAAATTTTTTTTATATGCACTTGAACAGAGGAGGATTGCAAAGAAAAGAATGAGAACATTTTGGATACAGCTAACGGTGAGTGGCAGTGCGCCCAAGGTCTGAGGACAAATGTGGCTTGCTGTAACAAGTTAGATGCACCTAACGTAAGGAGGCTTGACTTTATTTTAACTAGATAGGAAGACCTTGAATACCTCTAAGGTTTAAAGTTAAATCCTCCGTCTCATAAATCCTGTTTCTTACTCAAACAAGCCCCACAATGTCTCTTTCCCAGACTGATGTTTTTGATGGAAAGAGAGCACCAGTGACCAGGTCCTTACCCAATGCCATTTGGAGGTATAATGCCTTCTCTTCTCCTGAGCACGTGCTGTTGCCTCTTCCGAGCAGGACAGCCATTCAGGGATCCCAAAGAAACCCTATTTAGCCCTGATTGTGTCAAAGCCTAATAATCCAACTCACAAGTCTAAGCAGTCATCGCATGATAGTGCCTTGACATCATAAGAAGAATTGTGCCCAGTCTCAACTGCAAGCAGGGAAGGAATACTGAATTTTTATAATAGCTCTACAGAGTGTGTGTATGGAGTTCAGAGTATGTTGAATTTAGTGATGACTATTTCACATAGCTCTAGGGTTAACCTACTTCAGATTCCAGCATCTTCTCAGAGGATTTCTCTCTAAGCATGGTTTGCTGCTAATAAATTTTCCACCTTTTCCTTAGGAATTAGAGCAGCTCCTTCAGCTTTCTGCCAGGGAGTCCCAATCCTCCTCATTAAGCAATGCAGCTGTTGGTCTTCCTAATCCCACTAACTCAGTATTATTTCTCATCCTGTAGACCTCAACATTTGTAATCTTGAATCTGGAGCTGCGTCAATGGGGACTTGCTTTGGAAACCAAGTAGAGGAACAATGGTACCCTTACACAACAGCCAAAATCAGTCTGAAGCTAAACTATGGGGAACCTAATACCAGTGAATTAATGACAGTTACCTCTGCTTTGCCCGGTCATTTAGATGGGATTTGAAAACTGAAGTTCAGGTTAGGTTCTGACCCTGGCTTCACCATATGATCTGTTTGCTCATCGGTGAATTGAAGATAAAGTAATGAGCGTTTTGACATGCTTTGAGATCTCAGGAAATGCTCTACGTAGAAGCTTATTACTTTTGGTGAGCTGACAAATCGATCTCTCAACGCATTTTGTCCTTGGTGCTTGTTTGCTTAACTCCTGCCACTTGCCTGCCAGGTAACCCTTTACCGCAAGCCTCACGGCCCTGGCTAAGCTAATCAAAGGTCATAAAAATGCCCTCCTGATGAACTGAGATTGAGAGCAGCCGCTCAGAGCTTGGTCCCCATAGTCTAACCCCAGAGCTCATCTCTGACTCAAAGCTGGACATGAAAGGGGCGTTTTTGTCTCTGGAGGCTGATTTGCCTCGGCTCTGCACTTTATTTAGACTAGGGCAAAGTGGGTGCATGAATTTGATTGCACCAGTGTCTTACAGACCCACTGACATGGTCAAAAGGGCCACAAGATGCAGGGAATGCACACTTAGGTCCACTATGAGCACACCAGCTTGAAAGCCATGACTTGCTGACCAGCAGGGGACGGCAACGTGACAGGGGTTACTGAGGTGTCCAACTTGACTACCAGCCCCTTTTTAGCATTGTGTCCGTGTGCTTTGCAAACAGCGGCGACTCAAGCCGGAGGGCACCGAAAGGAATGAGATTGCCCCCACTTTACAGGTAGGAAAATCGAGGCACTTCGGCTCTCCTGGCTCCCAGCTCTGCCCTTTAGCTTCCCTAGTGACAGGGAGGAGGAGACAGCCGGAGGACAGGCATTCACCTTGACCCACACCTAGAAAAGCAGCTGCTGCTATGCTGCTGCCAGAGCCCCTGGCTACTGGAGCTGCCGCTCGCCAGCCCCTGCCCCTGCCCCTGCCGGGGGGGGGGGCGCAGCCGGGCGCCGGCTCCCCCCTCCCAGCGCCGCTCCGAGCCGCACAGGTGTCAGCTATTGGGTAGAATATGCAAATGGCCCGGTGACGTCAGGCAGCCCGGGTCCAGACAGCAGAAATAGGGCAGGATTCAGCACGCCGCGTTTACACCTCGTCGCTCCTGGATTGCGACTGCGACTCCCCCGCCTGCGCTGCTGGGCTCTTGGGTTGTTGTTGCTGTTGGTTTTTTTTTTAATTTCCCATGATTTTTTCCCCCCTCTTTCTCCCCCCCTCAGTGTGCAGCCTCTCGTGATTGCCTCCCGCGGACTTCTCTCCCCTCCTCTCCCCATAAAGAGCTTTTTTGTTTTTAAACCCCAAAGCCAAAAACAGCCCCCCCCCCCAAAAAAAGTCTGACATCTTTTTTTCTTCTTCTTCTTCTTCTTCCTCCAGTTGCTACAGGCTTTAAACTGTGCTCACTTTCTGCCCCTGGGAGACTACAGGTAAGTAACAGGAGACCGGCCAGGGGTGGGGGTCGATGCATAGTCTCTTGTCCCCCCCCCCCCGCAAGGTGAATGGATGAATGCTGTGATTTTTTTTAAATGCTCGTTTCCCTCTAGTTTCAAGCCGCACGCAGGCTCGCGGGTGCTTGCGGATCGCGGTGGCATTAAATCAGGGTCACTTAATGAGGAGTGGCGGAGTTTGCAACATGCGCTTCAGCGGTGGGAGCCGCGGAGGCGCCGGGCGGGCGCGATCTCCGCTCCTGGAGGCGGGGGAAGGGCTGCGGCGGGAGCAGCCGCCAGACTTGCGCCCCGACCCGGCGTCCCGGACCCGGGGTTGCTTCGCCCGGGGCTGGCGGGGGCCGCAGTGCCCGTGGCGAGCTCTCGGAAGCGGCCCCGGAGGCTGCGCGGGGAGACAGGAGCGGCGGCTCTAGCTTCTGACACTTCATTTGTGTGTGTGTGAGTGTGCAAAAGCTGCTTCTCCAGACATCGCTCCCCCCGGTTGTGCCCTTGCTCCTGATCGTGTTGACAAGTTTGAACGCGGTACAGTAACTGCGGAGGCTTCTCCCCGCCGAAGCCGCCCAGCCCGAGGGGCTGCCTGGAAAAATGCCCGGCGGAAACGCTCGTGTCCTGCGGCGCGGCGGCTCGCTCGCCCGCCCGCCTCTCCGGGAGCTGCCCGGCCCCTCGGGGAGCTCGGGGCGGGGGTCGCTCTCGTCCCCGTCTCGCGTGACCCTGATGCCAGCCTCGTTTAGCGGCCGGACTTTCTTTTTGTGTGCCGGGGGCAGGGGCAGCCCGGCTGCCTTGCGGCGGCGGCGGGCGCGTGCGTGCGCGGGAGGCCGAGGTGCAAAATCAGTGCTGCGACCGCCTCGGCTCGGGGGAACCTGCCAGCTCCGCTCCCCCGCCCTGGACGCGTGCCTCTGCAGCCAGCCGGAGGGATTTAGGAGCCTGTGCGCCGAGAGGAGGCTTGGGCTCTGCTTATCAGCTCCAAGATCTGCTGCTTTCAACCTTGCCCCCCCCCCCATAGAGATAGCTGGGAAACCTGGCTCTACACTCCCTTGCTCCCCTGTAAGCACCCCCCCCCTCCACACTGGAAACCGCCCCCCCATCCGGTTTATTTCCAGGATGTCTTGGCAGCGGCCTCGTGATGCACTTGTCCCCCCCCAAGGGCGGCGTGTGTAACAGGTGTCTGCTGGGAGGACCAGGGCCGCTTTGGAGGCCGGGAGTTTGTCTGAAGTCCGGGCAGGGCCCGGGGCGTGCAGCCCCCCTCCCCCGGCCGGCCCAAGCGGAGCTCATGCATCAGCTGCTGCTGCTTGCACAAGGCCGGACTGGGGCAGCTGGTCGCGGATCCCCCCCCCCCCCC